CGAAGGTACAGGACTTCGACGTACCCCCCCCCCCCCCCCCCCTTTTGTTTTCTTATTTTGTGTAATATTGTATCCAAAAGAGCTTAAACGGAGGAGCGACCTAGTTTCATACGGCTGACCAAATTTCCGTAGGATTAAGGTGCTGTAGTTGTGGTTGATGTTTAAATTCTTCATTTCTTCAAGTTGTCAGCTGACAAGAAATGGGAACTTACTAAGTGTCATTTTACACTTCCAGAGGCTGCCTCTTTCTATGATTGGGATCCAAGTCTTAAAAGATTATAGAAACAACGTACTGTTTACTTGAGTTACTTCCATAAATGAAGCGTCTAGGACTAATGAAATGGATGAATTTGTTAAATAGAATTGTTGCCTGATATCATTAGGTGCAGAGCCCACTATGCAGCTATGAGTAATTCAGAAACTCCAGAGGCGCTGTTGCGTCCGTTCCTGTTCCTCTAGGCAGTCCAACTATCAGGTTATCTATTTGTGAGATCATACTTATTGTGGCATTGAGACTTATGCTGTGAAGAGTCACAAGACCATGATTCCTTTTGATACTGAATATTAACAAAATAGTGCTGTGAAGAATGTAGTTGACAGCAGCTTACTTCTGGGATCCTCTAATTTTCACAAAGTCCTTCTTTGGACTTTGATTAGAGAATCGAGCATGGGCAGAGCTAGAGAGAGCTGAAAAATAAAAGATATTCTCCTTCTATGCCAGCGTTAACGAACTTCCTACAGACCTTTGACATTACCACATCCTAGTGGCCTCACTCTGCCACAAAACATGTTTCACCCTCCCCTCCACCCAGGGGCGGAGCTAGAGTGCCGGGAGCTGGTTCGGCCGAACCCAGTAGCTTTAATTCAAACCCTGTATGTCTCTTAAAAAATCTATTAAATATATATATAAATTATTAATTTAGAACCCAGTAACTTAAAACAATTAAAATCCCGAACCAAAACCTTGAAATCCTGGCTCCGCCTCTGCGCTCCACTCCTCCACACAAAAACAGTGGAGAAATGAACGAATTGCCACAAGCTTTCTTTATTCTCCTTCGTGTGTTTAACGCTATGCTGATATTTCTATATCTGCAACTCCCCGCTAATTATCAGTTTTCCTTCTGTTAACCAGGGGGTACCATGTCCTAGTGTTCCCAGGAAGGATAAACCAAGACGTGTTGACCTGTATTATTCAAGTTGGTACATACAAGCAGGTATGACTGTCTCACTTTCCTCTTTTAGCTTCCTTCTTTTCCAGTTTTCATGCTTTTGCTTTCCCACTTAGTTAGCATATCTATGAATCAGAACAAACAAGCACATTCTAATTCGATTGACAACTTCCGGCATCATTTTGTTCAATTTTGAAAAGATGCACAGTGATATGTTGGATAGCAGGACAGTATTTCCTGCAATTTATTTTCAACTTCTTTGCGAGTATCGCTAACTAGAGTTGACCTGTTAAAGGTCATGATCCTCTGATCCCATTTGTCATTTTCTACGACTCTGAAATCCATTGTGGTGGATGAAACAGTGGAATCAAGGAGAGGAAATGGCCAGCTGACTGCATGCGAGGTGCTTCTCTTCCATTACGAAGATATGGGCATCCCATGGGAAATCGCAAAATTTGGGGTAAGGCAGGGTATGTGGGGACTTGTAAGGAAGATTGAGCGTGGATTCCGGTCCTACCAGAAATCAAGAGCATCTAACATGAAAATCTCTCGCTATGCTTTTATGGCCCAAGTTAATACAAAAATTGATCCAGAATACTTGAAGTTGATGGAAGGTGATGTGGAAGAATCATCAGGGACTGAAATACAGGTTTCACCTGCAAAATCCGAGGGCATAAACGTACCGAAGCTACTTATCATTGGTGGCGCTTTGGTTGTTGCTTGTACCCTTGACCGAGGAATCATACCCAAGGCACTTTTGTTTAATGTAGCGAAAAGGTTTGGAAATATAGGAAGAAGAGCAAGTCCAAGGGCATGACTGATAATCTCATTTATACTCATGTTTCTGTTGTAGATACCTATTTCTTTTCCTTTTAGCATAGTGTTAGTGTTCAACACAAGCAATGATTGTTACATACATGTAATACAAGCAGAGTGTTATTGATCAATACAAGCGCGGCACAGGTGTTATCATCTGTTTTTTTTCTATGCCTTATTCTTAACCACTACAAAGATTGCCAAGAAGAATTTTTACCATATGAATGTACTGTTCATACTATACGGTAGGAAATGACCCTTTCTCATAGAGATTACAGCAAGTAAATCCAAAATTTTCATAAGTTAATGATATTACAGAGAGCAAATTGTGTAACTAACACATTAGAGTTAATCTGTGCTTAGATCTGGTTGCGTTTAGATAAGTTTGTCCGCTTTTGCTTACTTTACGGGGCTTTCTCATGAAGAATAGTTAGTTATGTTAAACACTCCACGAAACTAAAAATGCTTATTCTGATCCTTGGAAAGTTAATTTGGCAGCTGTATGCTGAAAGAGATCCAAACGCAACAGCAATTTGCTACTTATGATTGAGTTTCTTTACTAAAAATAAAATAAAATCTATAGGCTACAAATCCCGAGTTCATATAACGTCAACCAAAAATAATTGAGCAGATGAAAAAAGGGTATAAATCGAGATCCAAATGATAATCACAAGAGTCCAACGTCCCCATAGATAGGGAAAAGAATTTCCCCATGTTGTAAGTAACTTTTGCGTACTGCATCCCCTATGAAATTTTAGATTGTTCCAAATATTTGATACTTCAGGAAAACAAAATGTCCTTTGTTACTTTCTTTTTTAGCTAGTCTTGTTCCAATTAGTGAAGTATTGATTAAATAAATTTATTGAATAAAGGATAATTGAGATATATACTTTTATGATTAATGCTGTATTAAATAGTATTTTTAAAGAGGTGTATCATTATTGACATCTTTGTTCTCGTCTAATTGAACAAACCTTTTCGAGAAAGATTATTTACTTAATAAAAATAACTTCCAATACATCCGTGAACTTGCTTTATATAATGGTATTGTTGGTTGGATCATAGGGAAAAACATATTTCCTTGAATTGTCAGTTTTTAGTGAAGAGCCCATACAAATAATTTGAGGCACATAACATATTTAATATCCACTTTAGCATATTCTTCTGGAATAATCTATTACCTTAAGTTCCAAGGTTACAGGGAAACCCAATTAAAAGGAAGTGCCAGTTTTTTAACAAATCATAAACTCGGACTCCATCTATGTCAAAATTAGTTGCCATGATTAATTAGTTTGAATTGTACTAAAATTTCCTGCACTTTTCTAACACAGTCTTCCTTACTTTTTATATTTCAATACTAGTTCTGAATACATTGTCGTTGAAGCGGTTCTTTAACCGTATTTGATCCGGGGAAAAAGATAAACAAAGGTAAAAAAAATAAATTATGAAATAAAGTAGTTCCAACAAGTAAATCAAAATAATAGAATATCAGATTTAATAAATTGTATCAATGGAATTTACGGTTACATGCCCATGGTTAATTACAACCAGATAAGAATAAAGAATTTCAATTTTAAGCAAAAAAAAAATAATTCAATTTTGGAATTATGGTAAGAGAATCAATAGGGAAGGATTGTCTCGAAACAGTGGACGCCGTCCAATTCCAGTGCAAACCTCGGCCTCTTTTGTTGCTGTGGTCGCGAAGATGACCGCCCCGCCGCCTCTCCGACCTTCTTGAGTCCACCGGTTGAAGCAATTGACGGCGGAGAAGCCTCGTTCTTGTGATCGGATGCAAGAGGCGAAACCCCTTGCTCTTGTTGTTTCTTCTCAGTATTGGGTACCCAAGAGCGGTTCACCTTAAGGCCAAATATCTCAGCAGAGAGAACGTCAAAAGAACTGAATATTGACATCATTATAGTTGCTGTTTTTCCCCCTTCTAACTCGGAAAAAAACAAATAGCACAAGAAATTAAAGTAGTTAACACAAGAAATAAGTAATTGATTGGTTTATCGTAAGATGTGTAAGGAATGCTAAAACTTGATTACGAAGAAAAGACGATGGAGAAGGAGGTGTATTTATAAGGGAGAGGAAATGATCAAAATGGTCCTTAATGTATGGGGGTTGGACCATCTTGGTCCTTAATATATAGCCCTTGATAGAAATAGTCCTTCATGTATAGAAAAGGTGGACATTTTTAGTCTATAGCCCTAAAACTAACAGTAGCCCCCAAAACTCCAGTTAAATTTGACAGAACTAGTCACGAGCATCTCATGTGAGACTCCATAAACGCGAGAGAAAACAAACCTTCCTGCTCTATCACGCTGATAATTCATTTTCCAAATCTCACGTGCTTCTTTATTTTTTTGTGTTCATCAAAATAGTTTGGGAAGCGGGATCGCCCCATTTCCTTTTTCTAAGAAGTTAACTTGACAAAAAGAATTAAGCTGTTGAAAAAAAAAAATAGAACTCAGCTAATATGTGAACTGAGATAACGAGAGAAACTTAGCACCTTAGTGATTCATGTGTCTTTGAACTCATTTTCGGAAAATTGCAATGATTAGTTTATGCAAAAATAACTCCGAAACTTTTCAAAATACACGACGAAAATCGAAGTCTGGGCAGCATTTGTTGTTTTGCGGCTCTAGGTTTTTTGATAATTGATTTTGCTGGAAGCCTACAAACTCCATGAAGGAAGAAATTATATGAGGCCTCTATGTTTACTGGTGGATAGTGGTGCTGCTCAGCCTCCGGGACCTTCAACCCTCTTCTCTTCTTCTCTTCTCTCTCGGATAAAATTGCAGAAATTAATAAAGCCATATTTATGTTATCAGGCCATCAAGCTGACCGTGTAAAAAGGTTTCTTTTCTGTGTGTGCAGTGCAGGTGAGAAATATGATTAAGTTTAACTTGAGTTTTGAAGTATATCGTTAGGTTTAGGACTGTAGACTAAACAGGTCTACTTTTTGTGTACATGAAGGACTATGTCTATTAAGGAATATACATTAAGGACCAAGATAGTCCAACCCTCATACATTAAACACTCTTAACACATATTCCAACACTATTCACTCCAAGGACAATGTAGGAAAAAAATAATTAATTCATTCTTGAAATCTGGAAAAATCACTTATTTTGGACCGGAGGGAGTAATTTATTAAGGAAATACTATATAATGCTAAAACGTGTCTTGTTTCCTATGGTTTGAGCATATGGTTATGCGTGTCTTTTCAACTATTATACCCTGTTTTTTTAGCATGTTAGCTGCTATTTGTCCATCCATTATTTATTTCGTGTGGATAGGTTTGGACCAACGCCACATTGGTGGTGGGATTTTCTTTCGTAACGAAATCAAAGGATTGCTGACCAGGTCAATGAGTTGAAAAGTTGACTACTACTATTCAAATTGTATATAGGATCTCGTGGTCAACCAAACTTCAACGATCCAACAGCAATTAATATTGACTATATATGGCATAGGAGGTTAGAATTAGATACTTCGACTCGGCCTGTTTGTTAGCAAATACACGTGATGGTGCAAGTAAGGATCTTTCCTGAACTCTGAGAATTCAATTTAAAAAAAAAAACAGTCCGATATACAAAGTAATCAGTGATTGCTTCCATGGTTCGAACCTATGATGTATTGGTCACACAAAGATAATTTTAACATTGCTTCACTCTAAGAATTCGAATGTCCAGTTACATTTCCGGCATTTTAACAAAGAAGTTAGAGATTAACCCAACGTATATGTTAGCTAAGAACCTGAAACTCAAGCTGCAGTGCTTTAAAAGACCAGAAAATAGTTGTTCATTTTTTTTTCCTTTTTTTTTTTTGTAAGCGGCAATGCTACAAGAAGACCAGCAAGCAGCAGTGCTTAAAAATGAATTTAATGCAAGATATTTGGCCATAAAGCAAGCAGAAGAAAAGACTTTAAATTGGTCTTCCAATTAGTTGGACCTTTTTGTCTCTACGATAAATTTTCCTCTAATTTCTAGTTAATTTTTGTTCAGCATTTTGGGTTAAAGAAGAAGTAGACTGTTGACAAAAATATAATTAAAGGCTTTCCTAGTAAGAAGTTACTTTTCCCTATTCACCTATTGAACTGTTTCTCCACCTACTTGTTTGAATTCCTCTCGGTTCTCTAATTTGGCAAGGTAATTAACCACAAGGTCCCTCTTTGTGTATTCTTAAACGCAAAACTTTTCACACTCAAATATACTTCGTTCATAAATATTAGTCACTACGAACATGTCTTTCATCATGATTGAATAATATGATTGTTACTTTATATTTTAGTTGATTAAATCAAATTCCTTGATTTGACGTGAACGGTTTACTATTACCAATTACCTCACTATTCACATCGCATTATTAGATTTATTTGCTCAAAATCAAATTTAGCTTACCTAAAGTTCCAATCGTGGTACTGGTTGCTTTAACGAGGCCTTGTTCGAAAATTTGCTTTGAGAGGTTTCTTTTTTTAGAACTTGTGATCTAAATATTTATATGGCTATTTCGTTAATGATTTAATACAAAATTTAAATTAAAATATTACTAAATATAAAAAATGTAATTCTTTTTAGTGCTACATAAGATGGAAAGAAGGGATCGGATTAATATTTATATGCGTTCTCACCTTACAATTTACTAGACAATGAAGCTGCAAGAAATTAATCTGGCACATAAAAAAATCCAGCCAGAATAGCTATATAGTTTAATTTCCCCTCAATCTCATCTTACAAATAAGAAGGGGGAAAGAAGTGAAAAAATGAATTGTATATCAACTTCCTGAATTTACAGCAGAATACATGACCATGATCATGACTAGACAATAATAACGAATTTCTATCTTAGAATTTTAGTTTTTTTTTTTAAAAAAAAATCAATAGGGAATGATAGTCTCGAAACAGTGGATACCATCCAATTCCAGTGCAAACCTCTGCCTCTTCTGCTGCTGTTGGCACGAAGATGACGGCGGCGATGCCTCTCCGGCCTTCTTTTCACCACCGGTTGAGGAAGGAGACGGCGGAGAAACACCACCAGTCTTGTGATCTGATACAAGAGGTCCAACCCCTTTTTGCTGTTGTTTTGTCTCAGTAGTGGGTGCCCAAAAAGGGGTTACCTTTTGTCCGAAAACCTCAGCAGAGAGAGCATCAAAGGAACTGAATATAGACATCATCATTGTTCGTGTTTTTATTGCTTCTAACTTGGAAAACGAATGGAGTTAAAAGACAAGAAACTGAAAGTATTGCTTTGTTGGTTTCTTTTATGAAAGAAGCGTTGTAAACTTGGCTACGAAGAAAAGAAGCTGCAGAAGGAGAAGTATATATAGGGGGGTGGATTAAAGAATTGGGAATCCTTTCCCAAGTAGAATTGGAAAGATCTGGAAATGGACATAGGGAAAGAAAATTTCCACTATTCACCAATTCGTTGAATTGGTACGCAAGTTTGGACTTAGATGGCTAGTGGGTAGGCCAAGGAACTTCGAAAACTAACACTCCCCAATTAACGCGTTGCTATTTTGGGTCTATTATTACTTTTATACGACATGACATGATGTATATCTTCTGGATTTAACTGGAAGTTGCATAATTCCGGTTATTATTATATATTTAAGAGAAATTTTCAAAAATCACTAAGTTATAACTATTATTTACTGAATTACTTTCTGTTCGAGCGAAAAAGTGCTAAATCTTTTAACTATGCTAATTAGTGATGAATTAAATGACGAATTTTAGTTGAACTTAATAAATTCTAGACCGAATGAAACGGAATTCTCGTGAGACGAGTAGTGCTCAAGAGCATTAAATAACGGATTTTATATTCTATGATTGACAATAAATATGATAGCATGAATATGTAATAAATGTAAATAATGGCAATGAATGTAATAAGAAAAGATTAACCACCCAATTATTATATGATTGGGATGTTCCTTTTCTTTGTCAGCGACATGGAAAAATGAGAAGTCAAGATGGGTGTGAAATCTTTGGATCTATGGATAAAGATTGAACAATGTGTGCTTCAATAATATTATCAACGAACAAGATAACTTTTGGATATTCTCTTTTGTCAGCCTTTTGTTTAACCAGAAAACTGAATATTTGGTTAAAGCTAGAATTTAATAGAGAAATCGGGTTACTGATAATCAAGAAATAAGAGATTTTGTGAACAACAATAAAGCAATGAATAAGAGTATATTTCAGTATAATCGGAATGATATTTCGTGTCCTACAAATGTTGTGACTTTCTCCTTTTATAGTCAATTCTAAGAGAAAGTGTAATATCTTTGTCTTAATGAGGCAATTACGAGCAGTAAATGACATTAAAAGAAACGTTATTCAATCATTCTTATAAAATACAAATTCTCTAACGTATTTGGCATTTAATGTTGAATTTGAACTCTTTTACGCTATCAGATTCATATCTTCAATTCCTTCTGATCTTCGAGCCTTAAATGGATCGAACGGGTACGAGTCTCGTTTCATGTGGATAGTAGCTCGTATCTTCTCTCCCGCATCTATTGTTGCTCGTGTCTTCTAACTGTTTGTCATGCTTTGACTATTTGACCGGTCCACGTGTCATGACATGTCATCTTCAATATTTAAATTCAGTTTTTTCCCAATACACCTTTACAATGTGTTCTTATCAGAGAGCAAAGAAGATCCCTTTTTTGTTTTCTATCTCTTCCTATTTATAAGGGATATTCCCAAAAAATTCTGAAAAGTACAACATAAAGAATATCCACCTCTGAACCTATTCTACCGTTATTTTCTCACCTCAGCTGCCTGCTTTTGGCACCAGCCATTGTGAGATCAACCTTCAATCATTATATCATGGTCGACCCAGTCCTTTGTCTTTCTTATCCGTTACCACTGAATCACCAAATTTGGACCTATACAGTTAGTCCCTTCGCTTGTTGAGGTCGTGGCCTTGCACGCCCTCGATAAGCGGACATGATTTGCCTGTGTTTCGAGAGAATTTGGCTGTTGCATAAGCCGGGTCGACAAAGGTCGAGAGAGCAACACAACTAGTGGAGTCATGATTGGTGTGGTTGCCATGGGGTGACGTCATAGCCATGTGCGTCATCATTACGCACCTTCCCGAGACAACGTCTGCGTGCCTGTCGCTTTGGTTTCGGTGCCGTTGACAATCTTTTGCCTCGATTCTCGTGCCATCTAGCCCTATAAATAGATGGGGGTTTCGTTTTTCAGAAGTTTCCACCATTCCTTTCCTTGCATGAACACTGTTTTCTGTCGATCTTCTTTGCCAGCTTCTATTCTCGATTTTGCTCTCACGCTTCCATATCTCTCCTTCTTACCTTAGTCGCTACCTCCTTCTTCAGGTTTAGTAGCATACCTTTTATCGTCGACATGTCACACACCCTTCGTAGTCACGATGAAATTTTTGACGCCACTCCGTTGTCGGTGGCTCCTCCTTCCGGCGACGAGGATTTCGTGGTTGAAGAGGACAATAGCTTTCCTACCGTGGAGGAGATAGTTCCTAGAAACCCCTTGTCTAGAAGCGATTTTCATAAGGAACCTACTCCTGCTCCCGTTCAGGTGATCTCCGAGATCGGGCCGTCTCATATAGCTGAGCTCCGATCTACATATCATATCCCTTCTCACATCGAGATAGTTCCGGCTAGTGGTGAAATCGTGGAGGTCCATCGACCTGGGTACTATGCCTTTTATGTCTACCCTTTCTTAATTGGTTATACTCTCCCTCTTCTCCCCTTGACGGAGGAATTCTGCCAATTTTACAACGTCTGCCCGGCACAGCTATCCCCGTATTTGTATAAAGCTTTCTTGATGCTGAGGAAGTATGCGGAATTAGCCGGTTGCGAGGTCGATATCCGCCACCTATTACACTTGTTTTCACCAAGTTTTTTATAGAGGCACTATGATACACCTGCGACATCGCGAGACCAGAGGGCTGATAGTTGGAATGGACGACATGACGAATCGGAGGTTTTGGCACAAGTACTTCTTTATCAAAACTGAACACTTGGTATCGGACCCTGCTGGATTTCCCGAGCAGTAGAACTATAATCGTAGGTGTTGTTGGCATACGTTTGTCGTCTTCTTTTCATCCCTTTGTTTTTCATTTATTTGTGGTTTCTTTGTGTTGTTTTTTTTGGCTGAGAGGCGCGCACCCTTTCCCGTCATCGGCATTGAATACTGGGTGGCTCGCGTGTTACCTCACATGGTGAGTATTCGAGATTGGGCGGTTTTCTACAAATGTTTTGGGCCGAAGGTCTCGTCTAGTAAGTGTTACTTTTGTTTCGGCCTTCTGTTGTTTACCGTTATTTGTTTGATACGACCTCCTTATGGTGACAGGTCAACGGGCTTCCAAAAAGAAAGCTCCAGTGCCGGCATTTCGCCAGGCTATTGCATCGGCAGGGATGCAATTTACTCTAGCTGAGTCCGTCCGCGCAGGTCGTACTCAAGCTCTGTCAGCTAGGGACTCTCCTCAGAATGCTGCTGTACGGGATGAGATCTCTTCCCGACCTATCTACCACCTTGTAGATGAGTCATCTAATGGATAGGAGTCGCCATCGAGAAAGAGGCAAAGAATGGAACTTGGGAAAACCGTCACCACTAGTGTTGAAACGAGGAAGGTCATTGCCCCAACGGCGCGTCCGCACTTGTGCCAGACGCTGGGGCCATTTTTATGGCGGATGCTATTATGGCGGGGAGGTCCCCTAGGGCCGATGGGGTACATCAAGGCGGGGAGCCTATACGGGCTGCTGAAGGTGGTGCGTCATCGACGGTCGGAGGAGATGGAGCAGTGCTCGTAGAGGACGATGATTTAGGCTCAGACATCGATCCTGAAGAGGTGCGGGCTTTTTTGGAGAGAAACACCCGCGTGGAAGTGAGGACGAAGGGTCCTAACCGACACATAATCATTCCCGTGGGTTATGACCTTTTGGCTAATTCTGAACAGGCGGTGTCGTCCTTTGCTCCCTTGTGCGCTGCTTCTTAGAACGCGGTGCTTCAGACGATGAGTGATGCGGAGCTGTCGCTGAGTATTTCTGGCATGGCTTTGCGAGTAAGTGTTTTTTACTGTTTAGGATTTGTCTCGCATGTGTAATCTGCTTATGTTGACTTTCTTTCCTTTGCATGTCAGACTCTCATTATATGGATTGAGCGCGACCGGCGAGATGAACAGAGGACGACTGTTTTTAAGAAGGTGACCTCTAAGCACAAAGAGCACCATACCAAGCATCAAGCGCTGGCTGACATCTTTAACCAAGATAGCGAGTTTCAGCTATTTCGTGACGGGCTCAAATAGAGAGAGGAGGAGTTGGCGAGGAAAGTTGAGGAGTTGAAGGAGCGAAATGATGAACTGGTGAAGGCCATAGGTCGATGCAGCGAGCTTGAGGCAACTCTTAAGGCCAAGGAGGATGAGCTCGAGGTGAGCAAGGGGGTGATGGCCGAGAACACCAACCTTTAAGCGCGGGTGGCCTCCTTAACTGCTGAGCTTGGGCAGAGGGAAACGAAGGCTATTGATCTGAGGGGCGAGTTGAGTGTTAAGGTCGAGGAAATGACTCGTGTTGAAAAAGGTAGGGTGGCCGCCGTATCCGAAGTAGTAGCCTTAGATGACGCCCTCCGTGGTTGTAGGTCTGAGCGGAATAATGAGGTGGAGACGTCAGCACTCAAGGTGGCGAGGTTAGAAGAGCGGATCCTGGATCTAGAGGCGGAGTTGTCTGGATTAAACGAGCAAGTTGCTGCTATATAGGTTGAGGAAGTGCGACGGCAGTCGCAGCCGTCTACGTCTCATACTTCTATTGGTCCCATCGTGTCGCGGGAGTTGTATGAGATGTGGGTTCATGCTGAGGCTCAGCTTGATGTGTACAAGTCCCTGAAGACCGACGGGAAAGTTTCCGAGGCTGAACCCGAGGGTGTCTGTGTTAAAGCACGTGTGGCCCGTGAAGCCTGTGGTTATGACCTCGATACGCCTGGTGGGGACGATGTTGATGATGATGCAGACAGGCTCGCCTCTGACTCTTGGTACAATGATGAATACGCCGAAGGAGATGACGCGGCGTAGGTCCATTATACTTATTTTTGTTTTGCCATGCTATTTTTGTGAGGGCGTCTTCGGGCCCTTTGTAAAAAGTTTTGTAATATAACAGTTGTAATGGAATGATTAACTTTTTGCTGTGTCTTTCCGGAGTCATTTTTTGTTTGTTATGCGGTGAAGTTCCTGGCTTTTCGGCCGCTTGTGTGTAGTGTTTTGGCGTAGTCGATCGTAGATCTTTAAAGTAACTTGAGCGAGGTCGAGTGTAAAGTAATTCGAGCGATGTCGAATGTATAGTAATTCGAGCGAGGTCGAATGCTAAGTGATTCGAGCGAGGTCGAATGTTAAGTGATTCGTGTGAGATCGAATGTTAAGTGATTCGAGCGAGGTCGAA